AGGATAAAGAAAGCAATGGATCACAAGGGATACACTTACGCACGAACCATGATGGGATTCATCCTGCAAAAGCAAGAAGATTGTCATGGTACTGGTGATAAGATTATCAAAGAGATCAAAGACGCTCTGGGAGAAGATAAATTTAAGGTGATCAGATAAAGACGACTACTTTTGGCTATTGCTTCCTTTTCCTCTAAGAAAAGCTAATTCTTAATCAACTCTTTCAAAAAAGTAGTGAAATCATGACTCCCAAGAACAAAGAAACTCTTAAACTCTTTCTTGTTAAATTAGGATTTTCTAGCCGTGGATGGAGATGTTTCTCTCGTATTTGTCATTGACACCACTGGAAGTATGAAGGAAGAAATCCACCAAGCCAAAGCCATTGCACGAGCCATCGCAAATTACAAAAGAAAAGGAAAAGTCGATTATATCCTTTCTCCATACAACGATCCAGGTAAAGCTAGTTCAAACTAGAGCAAATGTTTGGTATATTTTCAAACCATCACAATATATGTGTTGTACTGTACGGTGCGGTGGGGTCCTCTAACATTATAACAGGATGAGAATTATATGTTAAGTGTATGCTACATCGAGCGTATACATCGAGTGGGACTGAAACACTGGCCTCTCGTTTGCTAGACGAGATCTCAACCGCTCGGCCACTGAGGCTTTACGGGAGAAGCTCGTGTTAGATCTATATTTTAATCAAATCCGCGCGTGATCTTTTACCCAACACGATGATGAGAATTGATACCACGCGCCTTGACCATTCCGTGTTCACAGTCTTATGAAAATCTACTCGATCATTCACCTACCTTTAAGAAAATCACCATTCGCAGGTGAGCCCGCATGTGAGCATATGCATATGAAATATTAAATATGCGCGGTATAAATATTAAAGTTATTATTATTATAATTATCAGCCCCGTTCATAACTTAAAAGAGGGATAAGTGGTAATATGCAGGGAGGTGAGGACCTAGTGTCCATGCTGTGGTTGTGCTCAGATGAGGAAATATCTTATTTTTAGAGCAGTTTACGTATGGCTATGAAATATTAAGCTCGCTGCACGAACGCGATTTTGACACGGCAAGGCATACGCCAGATCAATAACATTACGCTAGTATTTACACTCCATCCGTATCAATTATGGTCACGCCAAATTAAAGGTACTGCCAGACTAATCACATTGCAGGAGAAAAAAATCAGCCAATCAAAACTCTAGAAAAAACCACGGTCACTGCGAGGCTCGCATAATAAGGCACCGAGCTTTCCGCAATCATACGAAGGCTGCTCTATTGTGTGGAAGTGGCTGGTGCTAGCAAGCTGCGTATAGAAGCCTTTTAAAGGACTGAATATTAACAATTGATAAAAAAGCAAACATGTTTTAAAAAGAGCAATGCGTTTTGAAGTGAACTACCGCTACGCTACCCTTGATTCTCAAATGTGCCAAAATTTTGAAGATTTGCTATATTTAAGATTTTTAACCTATAAAACTTATTTCACTAAAGGTTCTGGACCTGTTACGAAATATACTTATGAAACTCGTTCAAACTTTGAGAAAGCTATCAACGGCCTCTATGCTCATGGGGGAGGTGACTGCAATGAGTTGACATTCAATGGAATTATCAATGCTATCAAGGTTGGAGATCCACTACCAAGTTCTCCCATGTATGTCTTCACTGATGCACCTCCCAAGGCCAGAGGAGATTACAATAGAGATAACGCCATTGGATATGCCCTGGACTAC